AAGAAAGAAAAAACGTCAAATTTTTTTATTATATATACGAAAAAAAAAAAAGTTTTAAAAAAATTTTTTTAAACTATGATCAAAAAAAAATTTAACCGATTTTGTCTCTTTCTATCTCTCTCTCTCTCTCTCTCTCTCTCTCTTTCTCCTTCCCCTTTTTTCCTCCTTCCTTACCTACCCCCTTTCTCCTCCCCTTCCTTCCCAATTTTTTTTTTTTCCTTCTTTTTTTTATTTCATCTTCTCAATTTTTTTTACATTTTTTTCTCTTCTTCTTCTTTTTTTCCCCTTACAAAAATAAAAATTATTATTATTATTATTACTATTATTATTATTTTATATTTTTTTTTCTTTCTTTTTGACTCCCCACAATTTTTTTTTCTTTTTTCTTTTTTTTCATTTGAATTTCATATTCGAGCAATAAAGTTTTTTAAATAACGACTAAACTGGAATTTTTTTTTATTTTTTCCTCCTCCTCCTTCCTGTCCTCCTTCTTTCCTGCCCCCTTCCCTTCTACCCCCTTTCCCTCCGACGTATGTATGAAAACTTTAAAAATAAATTAATAAATACATTTTTTTTTATTTTTTTATTTTTTGTATTAACACGTGTTTTTGACTTATTCGAAAAATAAAAAAATAAAATAAATTAATCAAAAAAAAAACTTTCGAAAAAGTCGAAAAAGAAAGAGAAAGAGAGAGAGAGAGAGAGAGAGAGAAAGAGAGAGAAAATCGTTAAGATTTAAAGGTAAAAAAAGATAAATTATTTTTAAATGATGATCTATCAAAATGTCTTTTTTTTGAGGTTTCGAATAAATTAATTAAAAAATTATTAAAAAAAAAAAAAAAATTGTTTTTTTCGTTTGTTTGTTAGATTTTTATTTGTTTGTTCATTGTTGTCACATTATTATTATTATTTATTTTCCAAAGTCAAATTTTTAAACGTTTGCATTTATTTAACCAAAAGTAAGCCATTTTTTTGTAATAAAATCTTTTTTTTTTACCTAAAGATAACTTAAATTAATAATAATAATAATACTCGACAGATGATTGGAGCCCATTCAGGACAGGAATTAACTCGTTTCAAAATCGAATAAAATGAACTCAGGAAAACTTACAAGAATTGTTGTGACGTCATTAGTTATAACAAGATGAAACCTGTTCATCAGTCGTGCAGCTCCACTGATATTCCTTAGGGATCGACGAGTTGAAACCTGGAATAAACGTTGTAAAAACAATCCGACAAACATCAATACGAATCGTCGTGATTACGAGTGATAATAATAATAATAATAATATTTACAGGTAAAAATATTTTCGTAAGTATTTGAATGCTTTATATCGAATTTTTTTTCCCAATAAAAAAGAAAAATTGATTAATATTTTATTTATTTATAATATAAAATTTATTCGTTTGCGAGAGAGAGAGAGAGAGAGAGAGAGAGGGAGATAATA